GCAGGCGGCTTGTTTATTCCCTGGCGGAGCAGTTTCCGCGAGGGCCTGGAGCGCCCCAAATGCCTGCGGACCAGGAGTCCGAGGCGGGCGGGGAACCAGAGCCAGGGCCGCAGAGAGAAGGCGCGCAGGGCACGGGGAAGGGGTGCAGAGGGGCGCGCCGAGCAGGGGTCTGGGTGGCTGCCGGGTGTTGAGGACAGGGAGCCAGGGCTTCACAGCCGCCAGCGCTGGCCGGTGGCAGGGCCGAGTGGGGTGCGGGCTGCGCAGTCACTACGTCCCTGCTTGGCCCTCCCTCCCTGTCCCACTGAGGTGCTCATTTCCGCCCTCCCCCCCCCCCGCCGTAGGTGATGGTTTTCAGGTACATTTTCTTTTGGTCCTAAATCACAGAAGCAATTTACAACTCACCCTATGGTTTCATCTGTCTCAATAGAGAAGACCTTTACAGGGTGGGGTGAGCCCAGAGGAAGCCACAGCTCCCAGTTCAGCTTCCTGAGGCCTGCCCTCCTGGTGAACACTCCCATGCCAGGCCTCTGGGCTCCAACCTTGGACCCTCTGGAACCAAGGGCAGATGCCCTCAGCTTGGGCAGGAGGCCTGTGAGGCTGGAGGAGTGTGTGCTTCAGGGGCACACGTAGCCTTTCCCGCACACCAGGCAGGACCTTCATCCTCTGGAGCCCACTAAGTGGGGAAATGATAGTACCCAGGGTCCCCACTGGGTGTGTTCTCCATGGCCCAGAAGCAGCCACCAAACTGGACGCTAACAGAGACGGAGATACCTGTCTCTATAAAGGCAGCGGTGCTCACCCAGCCAGCTCAGGCCAGCTCAGCCTGGAACAGAGGACTTTTGAACTCCCCATTCAAACCACAGATCTCATCGTCCCTCCTGATTTCTGAGGGCAGTTGCCCTAGGAAGTGGGAAAGGCAGGGCAGTGGCTAGGAGACACCTTCCTTCCCTGCCCCAGCTTCCTTAAAACCTCCTGGAGGCTGTTATCCGTCAGGAATCTGGTCCACAGTCAGCTTCCAGGAGAGGCCAAATCACGGGACACCAGCCCCATGCCTTGGGAGGCCGAGGACAGGCTCCTTGCCAGCCTTCTCAAAAGCACTAGTCATGTCCGCCTGGCCTCCTGAGCTGCTGAGGTAGGGGGTAGAAGGGCAAGGGCAGGACCCCGTACCCCCCTCTCAGCCTAGGTTATGAAGACCGTTGAAGTGGCAGCGAGCAGTTTTCTCCTGGCCCCCGTTGTGGACGCTGGCGGGGGGGAGCTGGGGGAAGCTGTGCCTGCCCTCTGCTGTCGCCACCTGGACTGATTATAGGAGAAGCAGGCTGAGTGCAGGGCACTGGTACCAGGCCAACCCTAAGCCCAGCCAGGGTCGTCCCACTCTGTGGCTGTTTCTGTAGCAGTTACAAAATGGTAGCCTGCAGGGGACGGGGTTCTTGGCCTTCCCCCAGGGAGGCGGGAGCTGAGCAAACTGCTGCCTCCCTCTCCTTCAGCCTTAGGCCCACCTGGAGAGAGGCTGGGCCAGGAAGAGGGTGGTGCAGGCTCCAGCTGTGCCCCAGGGCCGGCTGGGCAGGGGGCTGGTAAGCAGGAGGCAGCATTGGGTTCCTGGGGAGGGGGTTGGGTGGACATTTGAAAACGCTTTCAATTGACATCTGAGACAAATTCTTCCACACGGTTTATGAGTCCCTAGACTTGCCGCTAGAACTGCCCTCCTCTCTCCAGGCACACGAGCGCGCGCTCCACCATGTATGCAAGCACATGTGCTCGTGCACACACATGGTCACACAGCTCCCGCACCCCGGGCCCACAGCAGCACTCATGGGCCTGCCCTCCAGCGAGAGAGGGTGCACGGGCTGGGGTACCCTCCACCTCAGGGTCCTGGCCTGGGCTTGCTGTAGGGTCTGCCACCTTGTGGGGGCCTGGATCCCTCTGGAAGCCCTGCTCTGTCAAGGTAAGCTGGTTCCCTGTCGACAAAATGGGGGACTCCAATCATCTGTTTGAGGTGTTTAGGACAGCTTCTCCTGAGGGTTCCCATGCTGTCTCTCAGCTTCATGGGAGCCGGAGGACCCCCTGATGGCTTTCCCAGAGCTGCTTGGGCTTCTACCAGCTCAGGGGATTTGGCTCCCAGTGGCCTTAGTGTCTTCAGTTAGGTTTGGCTTCTGCCTCTCTCTTGGGGACATCTTTGGGGGAGATCAGCTAGGAGGGGGTGGGAGCATCTGAGGAGGACTGAGGAAGTCCCCCTCTGAGGAAGTCCGGTGTCAGGGACCTGGTGACCAGGGGAGGGTGCCCCGCAGGGATGGATACATGCTGGTGTACGTTTGGTGTGCTGAGGGGTCTGAGGAAGCTCTTCTCTAGAATGTTCCCTGAGCCTCAGGGTCCTGGACAGTTTCATCATGGGCTGCAGGACCTGGAAAACTTTCTGCTTTTTTGCCGACTCTGTTTTCATAGAGGTAGGTCATACCACCGGTCTGCGGAGGAAGGAGTGCAGTGGGGGTCAGTGGTAAGAGCTGTAAGCGGACTCATTTAATCCACACAGCAACCTATGAGATTGGTAGTCCCATTTTAGAGATAAGGAAACCAAGGCATGGAGAGATCCAAGCAAGCTGCCCGAGGCAGCATGGTGTGTCAGTGGTGGGGCCAGGCTGTGGACCACGGCAGGGAGGTTCTAGAATCCGTGCTCTACTCCTCAGGGCTCCTAGACTGACTTTCCCCGACACCCAGTTAGTGCGCACAGGCCCAGGCAAGGCATTCACAGGGATAAACACCTCTGCTAAACACGCAGGAGGCATCCAGAGAGCGAGCAGCACTCCTGCTCTGCTACGAGTTGGTTTGAGGCCTGGGGGTTTCCATAGAGACATGACCCAGAGGAGGCATCTCATTGATCATGGAAGCAGCTGACAGGGACTTCCAGGTCTTCTGCTCCGGGCCCCTGTAATGCCCCCCCACCCCCACCCCAGAACTTTCGTTGTGTATGGATGACAGACAGGAGGGAAATTAAGGCAGCCTGGTTGGTGTTGAGATCCTCTCTCACATCCTGACCAGAGTCTTTGTGCTTTAGCTGCTCACAGCCACAGACTGACAACTGCAGGGGCTCAGAGGGAGCAGCTTGTGCAGCCCTTTCCTCGTAGAGGGGGAGGCTGACCACAGAGGGAAGCAACTTACCCAAGGTCGCAAAGCTCTGACCAGTGCCGAGACCTCTTGCTAAAGGGGCAGTGCCTCTTAAGGCCTTCTGTCCCCTCGCCCACTCTGTGCCACCTCTCCTGGTGCTCTGTCCACGCCTCTGCGTCATCTCTCGGCTTCCCCCAGGAGGATGTTCCCCAGCTACAAGGTAAAAGTCACAGGCATGAACCCCAAGACCAAGTACATCCTGCTGATCGACATCATCCCCGCAGATGACCACCGCTACAAGTTCTGTGACAACAAATGGTAAGAACCCGGGACCCTCACATCACCCGCCTTCCCACTCGCACACCCATCCCCACCTGATGTTTGGCCCAGGGACTTACCAGTTAGTCCCAGTGATTGGCCAGATCCGCAGCCTTGGGCACCGGGCCTGCTGAGGCTATAGGGTTATCAAATGTTCGCACACCTGCTGCTGGTGGGGCAGGGGCTGCGGCTGAAAATGAGCCGCAGTGTTTGGGTTTTTCGTGGATTTCAAGGGTCTGTGCTCTCCCCACAGCTGTGAACGAACAGGGTGGGTGCCTGTGCTTTGGGATGACAGATGAGCCCCAGCACTGGGCAGGTTTAGGTTCTGGCAGTGCTGTGCTCGGGGAGTGGGGCAGAAGATGGAAGCCACTTTCCTTGGGGGGCTTTGGTATTCCATAGTTGGGGCCCAGTTACCTGGGCTGTGGCATCTCTCTCCTGTTCCTCCACTCATTTGCTCTTTGGCCGCAGAGCCTTCCCTCTTATGCTGTGCCCCCCATCCAGAGAGAGTAGTCAGGTTGAAGGGCGAAACCAAGCTGGGACTGGGTAAAAAGCGCTGGGCTGCTTTTCCTGAGGCCATCCCGTTAGTACCCTGTCTGCCTCCAGAGCCCAGGACAGCGCCCAGGGAGAGAGAGAGATGAATGAATCCACAGTCCGGGACGTGGGCTCAGCGGTAGATGAGTAATAGGGCTGCAGAGCCTGGACCCAGGAGGCCAGATTCGGTGGTCAGGTCCTGCCAAGGGCTTGTCTCTGTTCTGTCTCTGGGCTGGAATAGCACTCAGTGCAGCTTCTGGCTCAGGGGACAGCTACCAGTTCGTTTCTTATGTTTGTTTTGGGGGCAAGCAATTTGAAAATTGTCTACATCCTCTGAGAAGCTACCTCCAAACTTATAACATTTAAAAATTGTAAATATAACACATACATGGAAGTGCCTAAATCTCCCCACAACATACTTGTGATTAGCCCCATTCCTCCAAGGAAATCATCACATGTCTCTGTAATCTCACTTTCTCTTTCTTATTGCAGTGAAATACAGGAGGTTCAGAAACTCTCTCCCTCCCCAGCACTCTTTCCTCTGTCCCTCCCTCTTACCCCCAAAGCCCTAAATTGACAGTCTGATAGGACCATCGGTGATTTGTTTCTCAGGTCTCTGGGGATTTGCTCTCAGAGGGGACAGGGAATCTGGGCTCCCCCAGGCTGCAGGGCAATCAACTGCTCTGGCTTCTCCGTGCTCTGTTGGCAGGATGGTGGCAGGGAAGGCTGAGCCGGCCATGCCCGGAAGGCTCTACGTTCACCCGGATTCTCCTGCCACTGGGGCCCACTGGATGCGGCAGCTGGTCTCCTTCCAGAAGCTGAAGCTGACAAACAACCACCTGGACCCCTTCGGCCATGTAAGAATGGGACTGCCTGGCCTTGAGGGCGAGTCCTGGGGCAGTGTTGGGGATGGGCCGGTCCGGGGATCTGGGATCTGGAGAATCCATTCTCGGGATCCAGCTCCAGGCCGGTTTGTGGAAGGAGCACAGGGTCTGAGTCCCACAGCAGAACATCCTTCCCCTAGCACTTACTGGCTGGGTAACTTTGGGCAAGTCTCTTAGCCTTTTTGAGCCTTAGTTTCCTTGTCTAGAGCCTGGAGATGACCATGTGAGAATTAAATGAGAGATTACGCATGAGGCACTTGGTGCCTAAGAGGCTCCAAATAAATGGCAACTATGACAACAACGACGATGATGGACCAAATCTCAGCTTCAGTTTCCCCAAATCTGGCCTTGCTGGAGCCTAAGACAAGTAAACCTTCTTGAGAAAGAGTCACTGATGAGTTCCGAAGCCTGTCTCTGGCGTGTACCGTTTGCCTGGCCCGGCAGCCACCTGCCCTGGAAGGGAAGGCCTCGCTCTGGCTCCTGTGTCAGCGCCTTCCTGGCCTTGCCCGGGACCTGGCTGTCACAAGAGAGATTCTGGAGCCCCAGGGATCCTGCCGCTGATGGCCCATCCAGGCTGCTGAAGCTCATTCTTTCCCCAGTCTGTCCCTGGCAGGCCCACAAAAGCTTTTTATGTGGAAATTTTTAGCTCAAGTGTGTGGCAAACGGAAGCCTAGGGACCTGGTATCATCTGCCAGGGAGCAGGCCTCGCCCCTCTAGGCTACCCATGGTTACCCTGGAAACGCAGGGTGGGGTGTGGTGGAGCGGGTGCTGTCGAGCGAGGTTCCTAGATGCAGTTGCCCTGGCTGCACCCATAACACTCATACTGTCCATGTGGATGGTGGTGGGGGAAGCAGGGGCAGGCGCTGTGCAGGCATGTGCCTCTTTTATGCCTCAGTTCTATTTCTGGGGAGCTGTGTGCAAATCAGAATTCTGTGCATCATGTTCCTTACGGAAAATGCCAGTGATGCTTCATTTCTGATTGATTGGTGTGTAACTGGCAAGCAGCTCTCAGTTCTCATTTTCTCAGAGTCTGTTCAGTTCTATTCTGGGTCACTGGTGATCTATAAACCAGCAATTAGGAGAATGCTTCATTAACATAATAAACTCCTGACTTATCTGTTTTGCGAGCGGCATGGGCTTTCCCGTGCAGGGCAGGCAGATGCCGTTGGGTGTGTGACAGAGACCTGCAGGTGTGCATGGTGACGTGTACTCATGTAGCCCCAGCCTCTCCCGGGGGGCAGAGACAAGCCACCATCTAACGGGAAGGGTCAGCCAAGCCCCCACCTCTCGGAGCACAGGGTATTTTAACCGAGGGCCAGAGGGGCCTCCCATTCTGGCTAAGACTTTGCTCCTGGTCAGCTCCTACCTGGCCTCCTCTGCTTGGCCAGGCTGTGAGATCAACCTCAAAAGGTTAGCGAGGGCCTCGATGGTGGGAGGTGGGAAGCCACATCTCTGCCCACGATTGCACACACATGCAGACCCCAGGGGACAGACCACTGGGGTGGACACAGAGCTTGGCGGAAGCTGGATCTTTGGGTGAGTGACCAGAAGTACCCAGGGAATTGAAGCTCTGGGGAAGTTTGGATGCACAGCTTGCTATCATGGTTCCCAGCTGCAGGGATGCCTCTGAGGACTCTTCCACCTCCCTGGGCCCCTGCAGAATGTGGCAGGGGAGAGAGTCAGGTGGTTGAAAAGCTGGGATTTTTAGGAATCAGGAGACCTGGCCTTCATAGCCCAGCAGTAGGTTTCCCAGCCTGCCTTGTGTCTGGTGGCTCTACTGGAGTCCATAAGAGGTTTGCAATAACCCTGCATATAGTCTTGAGTCTGGGCCAGTGGGGCTGCTTGTTGGGCTCGCGACGTTGGAGGTGCCCCTGGATACACTCGCCGTGCCTGCCTGGGGCTCTCCTCTCCTTGGCAGGGGGACGTTCCCCGTACTAACTCAGCTTCCTCCCTGGAGGGTTCGGGTGCAGAGCATCTTCCTTCTCCCCATCCCCGAATTTACCCAGCACTTGCAATCTATTGGTTACAACACCCTTTGTGGGGTGGCAGGGCTCAGGGAGATGAGGTGCTTGTCTCAGGAGCTGGGAGTAAAGGAGCAGAGCGTGGACCCCTGCCTTCTGCTGCCTAGTCCCGCACTCCTCTGGCTTCTCCACCTGTCTTGCCGTACCCAGGGCTTGAGCTGTCAGATCTTCAGCAATTTGGAGCATCACTGGAGAGGGAGCAGCCTTTGACCATGCAGGCAAGGGCTGTGGAGGATGAGCTACCTTCTTCGACATGTCAAGGCAAAGTGGCGCATTTGAACCTTGACTTTCTGCTCCTTGGTCTGTGCCACCTGGAGTGGTGAGCTCTCCCAGTCGCCCTTCTTGGTGCAGGAGCCTGGGAAAGAGCCATCATCTACTGCGAACTTGCCCCAGACAAGTCCTTCTGCACGGCTCACCTCCACACTTGGCAATTTTTCCTAAAACCTCCCAGACCTCAGGGAACTTTCTCCAGCCAAATGGACTGGGGACTTTCCCCTTGGGTCTCACAGTATCTCAGAGATTTTAGCAGCTGTCTCCCATTTGCAGACTTCCCCCAGAAGAAGGGTCCAGAGTCCAGGAACCCCTCAGGGCCACATGTTCTGAAAAGACAGGATTGGCTTCTGACTAGAAAACTCCTGTGGGCTTTTGCTGTGAGTCCAGGAAAGCCCTCTGTTCTTGAGGGGTAGGTTCAGGGTGTGACCCCTGGGTTCTGGGTGTAAGCCTAGGGGCAGAGGACGGGCAGGCAGCAGGGGAAGAAAGGATCAGGGGGCTGGGGCCGGGCTGAGCTGCTCCAGTTCAGCTCCACTGCTGTGGCTCCACTGGCTGCAGAGGATGCCTGCCATCCTCCCCTCCTACTCACCAACCCCTCCCACCCCTAGCAGGGTCCTGTGCGAGGTGACCACGTGATGGGAAGAGAAGCTGCTTCGGGAAATTGAAGAGGGCCTCATTGGGGTGGGGCCTGGGTCCTGCAGCGGGACATGGAGGTAGCTGGCACGTGGGTCTTACTTTTCTCCTGATCTGGAGGCAGGGAGGGGATGGCTGCAGTGAGGGGTGTGTGTGTGTGTGTGTGTGTGTGTGTGTGTGTGTGTGGTGTGAAGGGGAATGGCCATCTTCACCACCTCTTGTGTCTCAGGACTCCCAGATTGCTGAGGTAGAAGGTTAGCTTTTTTTTTTTTTTTTTTTTTTTTTTGCGGTACGCGGGCCTCTCACTGTTGCGGCCTCTCCCGTTGTGGAGCACAGGCTCCAGACGCACAGGCTCAGTGGCCATGGATCACGGGCCCAGCCGCTCCGCGGCACGTGGGATCTTCCTGGACCGGGGCATGAACCCATGTCCCCTGCATTGGCAGGAGGACCCACAACCACTGCGCCACCAGGGAAGCCTGAAGATTAGCTTTTGATTTTGGTCAGAGTAGGTCTCACTGTTCCAGAGGCAAAATTAGCCCCGGACTCGGGGTGTGGGCTCCCAGGCCAGAAAGTGGCACATGCACCATCCCCTCAGTGTGTTTCCTTCTCCAGCCACAGGCCTCTTAGCCTAGTTCGTTACTGCTGAGCCTTGGAATCCAAGCTCAAATGCCACATCTTCAGGGAGACAGTTCAGGGTCCCCATTATATGCTCTCAGAGCACCATGCACCTTTCTGTCCAAGTACTTACCACAGTTATAATTTTATACTTATTTGTCAAATTTGTTTTTGAATAGGAAATACATTCACATGGTTTAAAAATCAGTCAATGAATAAATAAAACACGTCTGCAATGAGACATTTCTCTCCCCTGGTTCCCCATCCACCTAGTTTTTTCCAGCTCTGGCCACAGGTAACCATTGTTACTAATTTCTTCTCAGTGTTTCTTTTTGCATATGCAGGCAGAATACAGAGTCTCAAATCCCTTCTTTTCCACACAAAAGGTAACGTACTATAAACACTTTGCACCTTGCTTTGTAAACTTAGTGTATCATGGAGCTCATTCCAGTCACGTAGAGCTGCCTCATTCCTTTTTTTACAGTTGTATAGAATTTCATCATGTGATTGTTCCATTAGTCCTTATTGAAGGAATTAGATGTTTTCCTATATTTGCTCTTTAGATTAAGCTTGCACATATGTCATTTTATACCTGTGGCAAGTATTCTTTCTGATAAATTGCCTGTTCAAGGGGTGCTTGGATTTGCAATTTGTAATTCTGCCCTCCACTGGAGTCCCAGTGATGTGTATTCCCACCATCACTGTAGCCTCACGAACATGGTGGGAGAGAAAGGTTTGGATCTTTGCCAGTTTGATGGGTGAAATATAGATGTCAGTTTTAGTTTCAATTTATATTTCCTTTATTAGGAGTGAGATTAAGCATCTTTTTTATATGTATCTCCTCTTCGGTCCTTATCCTTTGCTCATTTTTCTCTCAGATTTTTTTTTCAATCACCTATCCATTCTCGGAGCTTTTATAAAATTAGGAAGATTTCGCTCCTAATCTGGGATGTCGAATTGCCTATATGTTTTCCCCGTTTGTCACTTGTCTTTTGGTTTGGCCTATAGTGGTATTCCTACACAGAAGTTTTTGATTGAATGTGTTGGTCTTTTCTCTGTGGGTTCTGGATTTTGAGTAATTGAAAGCCCCTCTCCACTCTTTACTTATAAGGGAGTTTTCTTGTGTTTTCTTCTAGTATTTTACGGAATTATTATTACACTTAAACCATTGATCCTTTTGGAATTTATCCTGGCATTCTATATGAGGTGTGAATCCAACTTTTTTTTTTTTTTTTTTTTTTAGAAATTCACTTCCCCTCCCCCTCCCTGGGCATCCCCCCCACTAGCCCCATCCAGAGCCCTAGTCGGCCAGCTGCCCAGGAAGGGGGCAGAAAGCACCGATGTGCTGCAGGCCAAATATTATTACACTTAAACCATTGATCCTTTTGGAATTTATCCTGGCATTCTATATGAGGTGTGAATCCAACTTTTTTT